GACACATATATATATATATATATATATATATATATATATATATATATATATATATATATATATATATATATATATATATATATAAACGTTATATATATATATATATATAAACGATTTGAGTAAACGTCTGTGTGTCTGTGTGTTATTAGATGTGTGTCTGTGTGTGATAAGATGCGTGTCTGTCTGTGAGTGTAATTAGATGTGTGTGTGTGTGCGTGTGTGTGTGCAAATAGAAATAGTCGGACATATGGCAAGGCAACAACAACTATAACAATAGTGCTTTACTTTGAAGGAAGACCAGGAAGAGTTTGCCCGATAATAATAATTTAATTTTTAGCTTTTGTGTGTCGCAAAAAAATTATTCATATGCTATTTAAAAGTTTCCTGCACAAATTTTAATAATGGAAGGAATACGATGGCAATTCAAACGCTGAAATTTCATGAAAAGTTGTAAATTTTTGAGGTGATTTCCCCAATTGAAATGAACAGAGAATAAAATAATTTTAAGTCGTTCAAACGGTGTGACGATAGCCGTATTTTTTTTTCTAAAACACAAAATTTGAAATATAGATCCTTGGTTTCATGTTCAGTGACACATATAATATTGTTAGTACAAATCCTTGGTTAGCATGATTCACTTTCTAAACTAATTTTTTTCTCACTCACACTATATAACTCGCATAGCGTCAGAAAGCACTTGACAATGGCTCTTCAGCACGTTATCAAATTGAACCAAATATTCTACGAGTCTACGAGGTGTGATCAGTTGATAGACTAAATTAATGTGATCGCTAAAAATGTTTGCAAATTACTGCTTTAAAAATGTAGGGTCAAATATAAAGATGTAATTTTTTGGCTTACAACAAAAAAATAAAATGATTCAAACAAAAATAATTGAAGTAATTTACCAATTTTGTAATCCAATCCAGGTTCTTGTGAGTAATCAATTATGAAGTTTTATTGAAGCTCCGGTCTGAAGCGAAAAATAACATTTTGACTTTGCAATCTCAATTCCTGTCCTGACATGCCCGTAGCAAAAGCAGAAAGTATTTTCTTAGATATTCTAAATCTTTCTATCAACAAAATACTTTTCTATATGCTTTTCACTGTTTCCTACCAAGTGGGAATCAAGTTTTGTGACAACTTATTTAGCAAGAATAGTCATTACAACATTTTAACAGTATAAAACCATATCATATTGCGGTTGTTGTTGTGTCGAAACACAGAATGTTATTTGTATTTTTTTTAGAAACTTTTATAATAAATTGATTACACAAAACATATCGCAACACAAAATGTTATTTGTATTTTTTTTAGAAACTTTTATAATAAATTGATTCAGAAATGCGAATGTTTTTCACAGTTAATAGAAATATTTTTGTTATTAGCTCAATACCTTTGTTCATCTTGTCAAATTTCAAACAGGAGACACGTTACAGGACGATGTAAAATATAAGATGACAAAATATTACCATCGATAGGATGATAACGAAGGTGTGTTTATATGTGTTTATATCTGTATAGCAAATGAAAGATCTTATTCTTACGATTTTTATTTCAGATGTAATATTATAATATAACCAGTTGTTAACGCAATATCAATGCAAGCAAATAACTTTATGTTGGCTAAATGTTTCTCTCTCTCTCTTTCTCTCTTTCTCTTTCTATCTATCTATCTCTTCCTCTTATATAACTAATATATAACTAAATAACTATATATATATATATATATATATATATATATATATATATATATATATAATCAAATGTAATGTTTATTAACATAAATACTAGACAAACAATTTTATACACACAATGTCATTATGAACCGTCAACAACATAGTATAAAATCATTTTGCTGCGTTTTCGCTTAACTTATTTAAAGTTACTTGTGCGTCCAACGAAAATAAAAGTAACACAACAACAGTAGTAATAGTAACAATAACAATAAGTAATAATAGTAGTAATAATTATAATAATAACAATAACTAATCACCATTGAAATGACGTTAGAAAAGATCTGACGAAGAAAATTATTCATTGAATTTTTTTCATTAATTAACTTATGAACCCAAATTTTGTTATTGCTTGGTGGAATTTCAAGACGATAAAGTACCTTAAAGTAAATAAAATTTTTCTAAACAATTGTTTAATTATATTGTTAACTAGAATGGGTGCACCATTATTATTGAATCCATACAAGTAACAATTCATTCACATTTTTTCATTAACACCAACAACCATAATTACTCCTATTTCAGCTTCATTCTTAAGCCTTCATACTCACGAAAAGATCTTGACTGCGGTGCAATACTATCAAAATTAGCCGGTGAGATATCTAATTAAAAGACCATTCCAGTTCATTCGAGAACTTTCCGAATATGAACCTCTCCGAGAACTTGCCGCTACTTATAGAAGCCACATTTCCGACAAATTCACAAACCGACGCAACAGCCAAAATGGCATTAGATGAACCAACAGGCTGCAACGTGAAAGTCATATGGCCCTACTCCATCATTCCATGCGTTGTCATCTTTTTCGGAGGACTGATCATCATTTTTACGTCTAGACTGTGTCAAGGAGTCTACAAGTATTTCAAAAAGTCTCGGACAACAGAACTTCGCGAAAATAGAAAACCTTCAGCTGTTCAGCAGATCGCATCTTACATGAAAACCGACGAAGAAGCTCTTGATTCCATCTGCAAGTCCGACTCTGTTGATGAGGACATCGCTAAACGCGTGAAGAGAAAAAAACTGAAAATCAGATTTTTTTTTTCACAGGCGCTGGCGGCCCAAACTATTTTTGGCTCAATCATGGTCGGTTGTTTTGGGAAATTTAAATTGACTCATTCAAATTTATGCCTTAATAAATTAAAGTTCTTTTTCTGCGTTTTAATTTTACAATTTATTGTGTGTTCTCAATTTCTGACTTCTAAAAATTTGTCCTAAGTAGCACAGTCAATTTTTAAAATTTTTTGAAGAAATAATGGCCTTTTTTGGCTTATTTTTTTGGAACTCTCTAACTCTTTTTCTGACTACTTCTCCATCATTTACGAAGTTCAGAGCAAATCTCAAGACCCACATGTTTGCAAAATTCATTGAGGAGCGCCGTTAAACATCGCAAAAATAGCGCTTTACAAACTAATTGATTGATTGAAATAATATTTATTTGCAGATTGCCTTATCTTGCCTCACCTCTGTCATATCCTTGGTCGTCTACCTGATAGACGCATCCGGGTAAGATGAATCAATATCGTGTCATCAATCTATAATTTCATTATTTGTAGCTAGCTTTGGAGTCTTAAAAACACCAATAGCTAAATGTTTTACATTACATTATATCTGTATTTAGTTATTAAAAAATATTTTATTACAATGTTGCAAATTTCAGAGTTGATCCATTAGAAACGGATTTTTTAGTTTCGATCCGAGTAACAGACGCCGTTGATTTGATATGCAATGCCTTCTTCCTGTTTCATTTCATATTAAAGGTAACAAATGTTTTTATATCTGTATATCCTGCAACTCTATCATTATAGATTTTCAATTAAACACAAGACTCTCAACAAACTCCACACACACATACTTATGGGTGGCAAGATTGTGTAGTCACAATGTCTGGTCTTATGTTACTTTGACCCGGTCAAATGCACATGGATTTGCGACAATGTGTGTGTAATGCATTGAGTAACGCGCATCAAAAGAACAAAAGGTTTTCAAATGCAAACCTTCTCACAATTTTGATATCAAACGGGAGATAACCACACATTGTTACCGACGACAGTTTATTTACTCACATGAATAATTTTAATCAGAAGTAAATTGAAAATTGTTGTGCTAGTATTTAATTGCAATGCACGCCGCTAATAATTGTTTTCAAGCCATCAATAATAAAATCAGTGGCTATGAAATACCATTCTACTGCCAACAATTTTTTATCACAAACATTGGTAAAAATTTTCAGTTTTTGTCGGCGAACGATAAACTAAGGTTCTGGATTCAGCTGATTTGCATTGCGGATATGCTGACTGTCCCTTCGATAATTGTGGCCATGATTCTCAAAAGACGCTGGCTAGGTAGGTCAAATGGTTGATTAGTTGATTGATTGATTGATTGATTAGTTGATTGATTGATCGATTGATCGATTTATCGATTGATCGATTTATCGATTGATCGATTGATTGATTGATTGACTGATTGATAAATTGGTTGATTGATTCACTGATTAATTGATAATTGGTTTATAAGCTTTTATCACGAAGCATTACAAAATTGCCCTTGCCTAATTGCCATGTAATTAATTCATTTTCGTTCTTAGCTTTTCTGCTGTAATTTTCGCACTTGCTGGTGACAATAAGTTAAGTATGCAGTGGTTGTGTTAATGATGATTATGCTAATGATGATTGTGTTAATGATGATTATGTTAATGATAAAAATAACCATAATCGTTATTGCTATCATCGTCATCACCGTTTTTATCATCATCATTATCGTCATCTTCATCATCATTGTCGTCGTCATCATCACCATTGACCTCATGTTAGCAAATGATTAAAAATTTAATAACAATCTTCTTAACGATAAGTCAAGAATGCTAAATTTTTGAATCAAGTGGCGAGTGTTGTTAACTGTTAACAATTGCATATCCTTTGCTTACACCTGTAATGCAAATTAATGTAACGTGATTAATGAAATGGGATGTGATGCGATATAACGTAACGTAGCATAATGTGACGTAACTCAATGTATCATGAATAATGTGATGTTTTTAATATATTAACTCCAATTAACTCCACCACTGGGGCTGCAATCCAGCAGAGTTTGGTGCCGGTCCCAAGTTCGGGTAAAGGAGGAGAGTTGACAGGAGCTTGCTACACTGTTTTAAAAAAACGCTGCAAACACGATGGTAAACACAACAGCAAATAATCATAGCGACTCGATCGTCCGCCCGGGACAACAAGGACCGCATTGCAGCTTTGGGGACTAGGAGCTACTGTTATGGTCAGGCACAGAAATCGAACATATTCATAGAATAGGAATGATTCTTGGAGAGAAAGCAAAAAAAACATTAATTGAATACAATCCGGTAAATGACAGGTTGATGTTTTCCAGATTCAAAGGATATCCAAGAGATATTATTGTGATAGTTGCTTATGCTCCAACACTAAATCATTCGGATTATGAAGTTGTAACGTTCTACGAACAACTGGAACAAACATTGAAAGCATTACCAAAGAAAGATGTTAAGATAATTGTTGGGGAGTGGAATGCTAAAATTGGAAGTAACAACATTGGTTTTGAAGAAGTTATGGGAAAATACGGTGTAGGAGATAGAGGGGAAAGTTTACTAGAGTTTTGAAGGAACAACAATTGTATGTCACAAACACAAAGAGGCAAAACAACAACAAATGTACATGGGAGTCACCAGGCGGAAAAACAATGAACATGATAAACATGATAGATTTAATACTAATAGAACAGAAATGAATAAAATCTGTCAACCAATATAGAGCTTTCCCAAGTGCAGAAATTGGATCAGATTATTTTATTGTCTTATGCAACGTTATCATGAAGATTAAACAAAAGCTTAAAATCGGAGAAAGCGTTAGGAAAGTGAGATACAACACAGAAATGATAAAGCAGAAGATGGAGGATATAAAAAATAAAATCGAACATGAATTGGACTCAGCATCCAATTACAATATGAAAACAAGAGTTAGCAGTCTAGAAAAAATTCTCAAAGCAGCAGGTGAAAATTGTAAAATTAAAACGAACAAAATAAAACCGTCGATAAGCGATGAAACATGGAACCTTGCAGAAGAAAGAAGAAGTTTGAAAATGACAAAAAGATAGAGTGAAAAAAATACGATAAAATACAAAG